ATCTCTATCTGATAGCTCCCTAACAGTGGACTCTAATAGAAAGGGGTGATATTCCAGATGTTCAGGAAGAAACCGTACCAATAATATTAGTCATTCCTCAGAATTGTTCTGGCACCAGCGAATACTGTTAAGGCTGAAGATACTAGAAGAATGCCAATGGAAGGGACTTCTACAGATCTATCAGACAACAAGACAGAGAGTATCCCTGGTGACAAAAAGCACTGCAAAGCATCTCATAACCTCCCTCCTCTCCATTTGGGCAGGGGGACCCCCTTTGTTTGTGTAAAGCCCCCTGCAGGGCAGGGCAAGAGGGAGGGCCATTGCCTGAACACCACTGAGGATTCATTGAGTGATTTGATTGAACTTGCTTACATTAAAGTTGATTTAAAATTGCTAAATCACACTTATGGTCATAGGGATTGATGCCAATAAAGATGCAGGGAAGAGGGAGCTAATAATAAGAGCCACCATACAGGAGGGAAGAGGGAAATGAGGGCCTTTGCCTTTGCTGAGGCTGCGATGACAGTCTGAAGGTTGCAGCGGTATCTGCATTCAAATCTTCCACTGTAGAGGGCTTGTTCACTTGCTGAGACATGGCTAGTACACAGGAATGAGTGCCTTTGCCCACCACCCCAGGTGCTAAGGGAAGGCCTTGGGTGCTAAGACTGGAGGGAGGGAGACTGAGTGTATGTATGAGGGATTAGAGTGACTGTACGTATGTATGTATGTACACATGTATCATAGATTCATAGATGTTAGGGTCGGAAGGGACCTCAATAGATCATCGAGTCCGACCCCTTGCATAGGCAGGAAAGATAGATGACCCCAGCTAGATGCCTATCTAACCTCCTCCTGAAGACTCCCAGGGTGGGGGAGAGCACCACCTCCCTTGGGAGCCCGTTCCAGACCTTGGCCACTCGAACTGTGAAGAAGTTCTTCCTAATGTCCAATCTAAATCTGCTCTCTGCTAGCTTGTGGCCATTATTTCTTGTAACCCCCAGGGGCGCCTTGGCGAATAAAAACTCACCAATTCCCATCTGTGCCCCCGTGATGAACTTATAGGCAGCCACAAGGTCGCCTCTCAACCTTCTCTTGCGGAGGCTGAAAAGGTCCAGGTTCTCTAGTCTCTCCTCGTAGGGCTTGGTCTGCAGGCCCTTAACCATACGAGTGGCCCTTCTCTGGACCCTCTCCAGTCTCTGGACTCTCTCCAGGTTATCCGCATCCCTCTTGAAGTGCGGCACCCAGAATTGCACGCAGTACTCCAACTGCGGTCTGACCAGCGCCCGACAGAGGGGAAGTATCACCTCCTTGGATCTATTCGTCATGCATCTGCTGATGCACGATAAAGTGCCATTGGCTTTTCTGATGGCTTCGTCACACTGCCGACTCATGTTCATCTTGGAGTCCACTAGGACTCCAAGATCCCTTTCCACTTCCGTGCCACCCAGCAGGTCAGTCCCTAGGCTGTAGGTGTGCTGGACATTTTTCCTCCCTAGGTGCAGCACTTTGCATTTCTCCTTGTTGAACCGCATT